TGGGTAGGCTTCAAAATGAGCGGCGGGAGAAAGAAAATATCCATCTGCAGCTGGAAGAAGCGCGAGCAAAACTACGAACCAGCGAGGAGGACAGAGAGGAATGCGAAGAGAGACTTAAGGATCTGGAAGAACAAAAACTTCAAAAAGAGAAAGAAATATCTGATTTGAAGAGACAAATGGAGGAGGAGAAACAAAGCTATTTGGATAATCTCAAGTAAGAATTGCTCAGTTATCTCCTTCTCAGATCTTTTCTTTCTTTAAGGGTGAGAAGGGCATAACTACCAGACCAGGTCTTCACGCGCATAGCCTTGACTAATCAGAAACGTAATGCTACATCTTCAGTGCAATTACTTATGCCCAGTCTCTTGCAGATGAAGAATTGAAGGCACGTTAATAGAATCCAGAATTCATAATTCAGAAATTTGCCAAATAATTTTTGAGACAAAGAAAATAAACGTTACTGAAATAACGGAAAAACTTGTGTTCAATTGCTATTGGAAAAAACTGGAAAAAAGATTGACAAAAATGAATACGCAAAAATATGTACGAACCCGGCATGATGTCTTACTTCATGTTGAATTAAAAAGTTGTATTCTTCACCGCCCAGGATTCTCTGTTGTTTACCAATCACCACTAATGTTTTTCTTTGCAGAACTGAAGACTACGAAGTGATAGAAAAACCTCTTGGTAAGTTCATTTCGGCTTGGTCAAATCTCAACAAAATGATATGAAATTCTCACTGTGCGAAATTATTAATGTAAACTAATTTTACATCTGCTTGCAGTAAATCGGCTTCACATTAAATTTCGTATTCTTGGTAACCACGCTGCGGCAGAGGTCTTAAAAGAGGTAGGTCACGGATTGATGCATAGGTGTTTATTGGTCAGATGTCGAATTATCTCTACCGTGACTAATACAGGTTCCTTGGATAGTTTGTGTCTTACTCAGAAGACATCCTTTTATTGTTGATTTTTTTTGTTCGGCAAGTTGTTTGTTTTAGGCATCGACAAGGTTCGCACAGCCCCGATTTCCCAAAAGAGAACAGAATTTTCAAAATTGAAAATGGGAATAGTATGTGAAGTGGAGGCATAGCCTCATGAAATGAGCAACAAGTTCTCAGTTACAAGGTGTGAATGTTTTAAAGGTAGCCCAATTTACCAAAATAACCTTCTCTTGAATTAGTGCGATCGGACTATTATTAATTTTGGGGCAAACTCTCGACAACTGCGTTTCTGTCCAGATCATGTTACATGAGTCATAACCTTGAGTCTTGATGGTGAAAATACAGTTTCGATAAATTCCAAAAATTATTCAACTTTCGCGCAGAAATGAATACGAACCCTGAAAAATAATTGGTGATAATGCAAGGAAAAATATCAAAGAACGTTTTTCTTTTTCAGGCCTTACTTGCTTCAGGTCTTCCCGAGATGATCAGAACGGCACCGGCATCTTTTAGGTCTCCACAGCGTCTGACAAACGACTCTTCTCACGGTGGATGGACGTAAGAGCTTTTTTCTTTTTCGTGTTTGATTGCAATGAATATTCTCCTGTCGAGATATAGATTTGGGATTCGAATTTGCAGCGCTTTCAAATAAGTGAAAAAGCCTCACAGGTGTTCGTTCAAAATGGAAAAAAATTGTCACGGTTATAGTGTGACTATAGTAACACTTGAAATTATTACGTTGTTTGTGGGCTTTTTTGTCACTCTTTGTCCCAAATATCCTTCCAAATCAACCGAATGTTTTCAGCCATCAACAACTTAAGAACTGCCGGACGTTTTAATTTATATACTTAAAAGTATTTATTCGATTTCGTATGAAGCTGGTGCCAGTGTCCTGATTTAATTCAGTTTCAGGCAAATTCTAATGATTATGACTTGTGTGTCTCTTTTAGGTTTCACAGTATTCAGAAAGACGTCACTATCGTGCGGAAAAGGGAAGAGTGCAGTGGCAGTCTTCTACACTGGTAAGAGTGCTGTAGCTATTGATGAGTGAAAGAATAGATAACGGACAAAAAATACGTGGTAGTTTGATTCTCTCTTTTTAGCTCAAGACTTGGCATCTTTCTTACTCCATCTCCGGAACTGTGTGTTGATTTTTCAGTTTTATGGGGCGAGGAGTCATCCCGGCACCACCGCCGACCGTGTGGGAGGCAGTCAAGAACCCGCTGTCCAGATATATTTACGACAGCATGCTCAAGGTAGACATGTCGTGCATCAGTTCAGATTTGATAATTTAAATGACACAATCGTGAAACTATAATGTATATAGATTTTTTTTTTCGCTGAGGGAAGCTTACCTTGTTTTAGCGATCTACGCCTCAAATTGTGTGTGTGATTCTTTTTCAATTTTTTTGCAGAAAATAAATATTGTAGAGCATGTGGAAGAAGGACTGAAAGCTGGTGAGTTTAGGCATTTTTATAAGTGTTATGTACGTCAAAACAATATTCATTCAGTGCTCGAATCATTTTTGAAAAGTTTGAAACAAAAAAACGGTTGAAAGCAAATCATTTTCGACATTTAACTAACGTTATCAAATCAGAAAATGAAGCGGATTAGAAATTTCAAGATGCTAGATGAAATAACAAAATGAAAAACCAGTGAAAATGTAGAATGTTTATTAAACAGAGCGTCGCATAAATTGCAGTAGCTTGGCTGTTTTACCATGAACCTGTGTCTCAAACTCCGAATCATTCCTGTTTAGATATGTTGAACGTCGAAACTTTGTCTTTGCTTGACGTTTAAATTATTTTAGGCAATATTTAATCGCAGTATTTTACAGCCCAATGTTTCAACGAGTCGCTCCTTTTTCTGTCCACTTGACAAATTGTTAGAATTATACTGTTGAGAATTTACGTACTGATCTTTCCTAAGAGACAAAGAACCGGTTATTTACACGTGGGATACCCAAACCGCGGTTTTACACAAGCGGTGGGCCTTAGGTATTTTCTATAGGAGGGTTGATTCAATTGAGTAAATGTCCTTCCACTTTTAGAATTCAGCCCCCTAGACACTGATCACAAAATTGAATGTTCAGATAAAGGAGACAGATCAACTGAAAATAGTTTAGGGCGCGGTTCGTTAAACAACGGCTGAACTTTGACCCAATAATAACCGACCCAAAGGGTTTGCTACTGACGTATGATGTTTGTTTGTCACAGTGTATATGCTTCATGAGACGTCTCAGTGCTTTATGACACATTCACGCGACTTCTGCTACGTCTCTAAAGAACGCGTTGAGGTAAGTTGAATCAAACCCTTATCATAACGTGATTTTTATGAGATCACAATTGTTGTGATAGTGTGGTGCTTTAAACTAATGCACGGGCTATTATTTATCAGGAGGGGGGTGTTGTTTCGGAATATTACGGTTGTGTCTCGACAGAACTTACTTTGCATCCCTATGAGAATCTGTAATACTCTTTTGATCTCACCTTCGTTTCGATTTTCTTATATACTTGTACTCTGATTCCCCCC